CCTCTACACGTACTACGTATAGTATATACTATATATATAAGTATAGTAATAGTATATATATATATATATATATATATATATATATATATATATATATATATATTCATATATATATATATATATATATATATATGTATTTGTATATATATAGGCACGTGTGTCGCGTTGCCTGGTAACACTAGTGACGATGTGATGACGTAGAGAGTAATCATTGGAGCTGGCGGCAAAAAATGTCATTATCCCCGTCGCCGTCTCAGGTGCCGCCGGTGCTAGTGACGCACGCATCACGTGACGCACGCACATCACGTGTACGAACACGTGAACAGTGGTGTAACGCGTGCGTGCGTGCGTGCGTGCGTGCGTGCGTTCGCAGGTCTACAGACAGATAGACAGCCATACAGACAGGCAGGCAGGGAGTCAGAATAAATGATGGAGAAGCCAGTTCAGCCTCTACCGAGATAACCAGGTGCTGGATACAAATGCGAGCTCCCGACACCATCGCCTGCATTAATAATCCATGCCATCGACTATATATAGCGCTGAGCGTGACGTACGGTGACGTCATGTGACGCAGACGCTGCTCTGAGAATTCACGATTGCGGATTTCTGCGCTTTCACGATCGCTTAACTGCGGCACGACGCACCGCCTCATGACACGGACACACGAGCCGACGCCCGCACGACGGAAAGCCCTTCTACCAGCGTGTCTCCGCGCGCATGGGCAAACTCATCACGAATTCATGTGGAAAGTTGAGTGGGAACGTCGATATGGGGAAGCCAACGTCAACAACAACCCCTGTCCCTCTCGCTGTCTTCTTGTTTTTGATCATGTCCACACCATCTGTGCGTCGCCTTATGCACAGCGACCTCCACTGCCCCCTGCACTTCGCCAACGATTCTTTCTCCTTTCCCTCTCTTTCTCTCTTTCGCTCTCTCTCTCTCTCTCTGTCCCACTTTCTCCGCCTTTTATCTGTATTGAATCTCTGGTTTTCTTCTCTTTCTCTTTCTTTCTCCTCCCTCCCATCCTCTCGTTCCCTATTTCCCCCTCGACATTATCTCTTCCTTTCTTTCCCTCCCCCCGATCTCTCTCTCTCTCGCTCTCTCGCTCTCTCTCTCTCCTCTCTCTCTCTCTCTTTCTTTCTCTCTCTCTCTCTCTCTCTCTCTCACTCTCTCTCTCTCTCTCTCTCTCTCTC